ATATATTCTCATTGACTTTACCTACAGGTGTACTTTCAACTAGAGTGTTGCAAAACAGAACAATGAAATTGAGTTTGAAGTTAAAATCAGCCTCTTTTGATGATATAATTGCATTTGTGATATCATTCAATCTAATGTTTTCTGCTTTATGAAATTGGGATATCCATTTGTTGTAACATTCATCTTCTGCAGGTCGAAAACTAAGGTCTTCCACTTTTTAGTCACCCATTGGAATTCCAAGCATCTCATTCACACTTTGTTTGTCACCCTTAATTTCTCCATTTATAACTTTTAGTAACTTTTTCTCTATATCAAAGATTTTAACAACAAATAAACCAAGTGATGAAGGCAACTCATCAAGTTCCAATTTCAATAAGCTTTTAAATCCCATTTCTTTAACACAATTTTTCTGCTCCAAACTAAGTTTCTTTATAATTTTAAGCAATGATTTTGGTGATGACCTGTTACGTATTGTTTTGAAATGCTTTTCTTTTTCAGCCAAAACTATATTTGCATAACTTTTTTTCTTTTTTATTTTGGGCTGTTCTTTTTCAAAAAAACAGTTTTGTTTATCAATATCACTTCTCTTTCTCTTTCCAACATTAGCATGCAAAGAACCTGCAAAAAATATTATTTTTAATAATCAAATTAATAGTATATTTTTTTTTAATTAAAAACAAAGAAATTGTTATACAAGTTATAGATTAAAATTATTATACACATAGGATTGTATTTACTAAATTTCATTAACAAATTTTCATATAAGTACATATTCACATGTGATCAAATGAAAAATATTTACTATTATTTTATTTATATTTTTTCACATAATTAGATAATACCTTATTAATGACATTCTATAATAAACAAAAAGCATTTAAACAAACAAAACATTATAAAATATTACTACATGGAAAAGTTGATTATTTGAATTAATGTGTCAAATCCTATTCAAATGTTATTTGATATGTGATTTACATGTGAATCACATGTAACTTGTATGTAATTTACAAGTGAATCACATGTGATTCGTATATAAATTGCATCTGATTTACATGTTAATCACATGTAATTCATATGAGATTTACATGTGAATCATATGTAATTCATATGTGATTTAGAAAGTGAATCACATGTAAATTACTCGTGAATCACATGTCATTCGTATATAAATTGCATGTATTCCAAATCAAAATTTTTAATTTAGATTCTAGAAAGTCAACACTTTCAGGAAGGTTTCTACAGCTTTTGGGACAAATATCTCAGAAACAAATGCATATATTTGAAAAGGAGGCTAAGTTACAGGTATGAAAGTAGAATGCTACTACAATACACAAATAATTGAAAGAATGTTGCTAATTTTTTGTTTAAAAAATCAGAGGAAAGGGTTCGTTTGCTTCTGCATGGGCATTAGATGAGAGTGCTGAAGAACGAGAAAGAGGGATAACAATGACAGTTGGAGTTTCCTTTTTCAACTCAAACAAATATGACGTTGTGGTGTTGGATTCACCAGTGCATAATTTTTTTTTCACAAACATGATATCAGGGTCAACACAAGCAGATGCTGCAATTCTTGTTATTGATGCATCACTTGGTGCCTTTGAAGCAGTTATCGATAATGCAATTCTTTTTATTCCAAAATCAAAATTTTTTCTTTTCTAAATGAAAAACTTTTATGACATGTTTGGTTTGTTGATTTCGGAGATATCATAAGAAGCTGGAAAACCATGAAAGAATTTAAGGTTGCATCATATCAATGTCAACATCCTCTCTTCTACCGAAAGTAAAATCAAAGAAAGTTTCAATGAAAGGCCCAATTTCTTGTATTATAACAAGTAATACTAATTAGGGTTATTAGTTCCTTTTCAGAAAACCAAAAACATACACGAAAATTATGTAAAAATGCTAAATTACCTTTCATATTTAGAGTATAACGTTTTGAAGAAGTATCTTGTTGATCGATTTTCTTCGATCTTCTGTAACCATTTGAAGAATTATAGTGTTGATCGACCTTCTTCGAAGTTATACAACGCTTTGTAGAAGTACAGTGGTGATTGATTTTCTTCGAACTTTTATTTGAAAAAGATAAATCACTTGAATGTTGTTCTGAAGACATGATTTAGGTTGAATCGCTAGCTTTTGAAATACGAAGGAAACCCTTTTTGTAATTTAAGAACCCTAAATGAAAAAAAGAAAAAAAACACTTTTATGTGATACGAAAATTCAATTTCGTTTGCATTTACAGTATTAGCCCCTTGTTTTTTTAAATTGTTTTAGATTTGTATTCATTTTTTTCATTTAATTACAAAAATACAAACCTGCACTTTCATTTCATCTTTTTAATAATATTTAACATTTGAATATAAAAATGATTTAATGCTACAAATTGTATTATATTTTTATTTTTTATTTATAGTTCATTATACCTTTATTTGTATTTATATTTATAATTTTGTATGATGTGTTAAGTATTAAGCAAATATATATGTAACAATTATATAAATAAACATATTTTTAAAATTATATTTCTAATACATATAATTTATATAATGAAAACTATAGTAGATGGTATTTGCAAATCAAACACCAATGTTATTTAACTAAATCCAATATGAATATTAAAACTAATGATATATTTTTAGATTTATTTACATAAATCAAAATGTTGTTGATGGTTGTTTTTTTTTCTTTAATTTTTTGGCTTAGAAGTGCTTGGAAGACATTAGTCCATGTCTGCCTCAAGAAGAGGACGCGCAAACTTTTTTAGGTCTGTGGTCTTCTGAAAAACAAACAGACTGTAAGATCAAATGTTTGCGTATTGTCTGCACGGTGCAGACAAAAGAGGTTATGAAGAGCTTTTGACAAAAAAACAAACAACACCTTATTGATTGTTGTTTGTTACTGATTTGGAAATTCCATTCTTCCTGACAATTTTTCTATTCAAAATTAAGTTACAGAGTACATAAATTATTTTAATTGGTTACAATCTCATTATGTATCTTCAATCTTGTTCATTACTTATTGTGTTGAAACCTTGTTTCAAGATGATAAATAGGATCAATTCTTTTTATGAATTCCACAATTCCAATTCCCTGTACGATCAGCCATATAGACTTCCATATGTCTCATGAGAAAAACACCACAATTAACGTCATTATTCCTACTCCTCCAATTCATTCTCATTTTTTCCAAATTATACAATCAAAAGTCAAATATGAAGTTTCATAAGTAATAACAAAAGTTTTAATGAGTTTCATATTATGATCTCATTAGAGTTACATGCTTCATAAACTTTGAAAAAAAATAATAATAATAAAATAATGCTTTTAGTTCCACACATTACACTTCAAAGACATAAAGTTTCATCATTTTTAATCTCAGACTATCCTTCCATCTTTTTTCTTCCATCCCTTATCCAAAAGAGATTTTATCTGTTCATCAGATTTCTTTGCAGATACTTCAGACTGCTGTATAATTTTTTTCCTGTGAATATTTATCTCACACAACAGAATGTTTGTAAGATATTTCACTCTCATGTCATCCAATTGATTGTTATAGTTTTTTGATGATTTTTTTTATGAATTCCACAACTCCAATTCCCTGTACAATCACCCATATAGACTTTCATATGTCTCATGAGAAAAACACCACAATTAACGTCATTGATCCTACTCCTCCAATTCATTCTCAATTTTTCTGCCTCAACATTTTGTATTTGTCAGGCTCATTTGTGATTTACATTCAATAGGTATCTACTGAAGAGTAATTTCTGTGAAAATAAATAAATGAATTTAAAATTACTTTTCATATTAAATTTAATATATAAATTTATATATTTCTTACCAATTCAGCAGCTGCATCACCAAAAGAAGTTTGTATCTTTGATGTTGTCAAATTGTTGTCCATGACATCAATTTGTTTTTCTTTTAAATCAACACATATAAGGCAGTAGTGTTCATCACATACAATAGGGAAAAATACCTATTTTGATCAAATATTTTTTAGATTTCATTAATATTAAAAGAAAATTTAAAATTTAAGTCATTTTGTTATTCATATTCACATTTTATTCACATGCGTTTGAAGTATGATTAATATGTGAATGATATGTCATTCAAATGTAATGTAATGGATATATAAATCATTTGTGATTTACATCTGAATCACATGTAATTCATATTTGATTCACTTGTGGTTTACATGTGAATCATATGTAATTCATATGTGATTTAATTGTTATTTTAGATGTAAATTACATGTTATCACACATGATTCATATATATATATATATATATATATATATATATATATAAGGGAAAAAATAATATTACCAAATCAAACTCTTCAAATGTGATTAGTTCTTTCTGATATTTCATTGCTTCTTTTATTTTTCTGTCAAATTCTTTAAATCTTTCAATTAAAGGTCTTTTTCTATCATACATGCTTGAAGTCTTCAAAAAAAATTATATATATCTTTAAAGTTAAATTTAAGATGTTAATTGTGATGAAATGAATAATATTTATTAGAAACTTACCATTATTGTTGTATCAAAGAAGTATCTTTGCATTTGTTTTTTTAGAGAACTTTTTTCTTCAAAGTTTAAAACCTCAATCCATGCATCAATTACATTTTGATGAATATTCAACTTTGGCTGCAAAGTTTCAATCATCCCTCTAAGAACCACAATACCTTTCTTCACCTCAAATACCTTTTCACTGTTTTTTATTATAAAAAAATGAATTATTAGATATTAAATAATTATCCACATTTAAATTTTAAATGTTTTAATTAAAATAAATAAAAATTCAATCTTTACCTTGGAGATCCAATCCTTACAAATATGCGGTTTGAGACATTTATTTCAGCATATTCTATCAATTTGTCCGTTGAAACAAACTTTTTAATATAAGGTGAACATATTAAGTAGGATGGTTTTGTCTTTCTTTTTGAGAACTTTCTTCCGACCACTTTATTATTTTCAAGTTCAAAGTTTCTTTGATCATCTTTTTTTTTCTTCCGAGTTGTTGCCTTTATCCTCATCATCATTTTCATCATCTTCAATATTGTACTTTTCATCATCTTTCTTTCTCTTTGTTTTCATTAAATTTTGTGTTAAACCAATTGAAAAAAAATGTGATGAGATATTAAATATATTTATCGATAATTAAAATAATATTATATAATTACTTACCTTTGAATTGCTTAACAAATAATCTTGTTCTGACATGAGTTTCAATAGTGGACTTGGTGTTCTTTCATTCTCTGGTGCAGTTGTTCTTTCATCTTCTTTTTCGATTTCAATTTCATTTTCTGTTTTATTTAAATTGTCTTTTCCAACTTCAAGTTTATCCAATTCTTCAGCTCCTTTTTCTTTTTGAACTTCATGCTCTACATCGACTTCATGTTGTCCTTCTTTTTCACTTTTTTGATTACTCCGCTCTTCATGTTGTGCTTTTTTTGAATTGGCTAGTTCTTCTTCAATTTTATATTTAATATCAAGCAGCTCATTGCTTTCTTTGAATTTTGAAACAGAAAAACTTAACAACTCTAAAATGTTCTTTTTCATTTCAACCAAATTCATATACTTCTTTATTAATTTACATTTCAGTTCCTGAAAAGAATATCATTCAACTTTAATGAAAACTCTTATATTAAACTTATATTATTGAATACTAAATAAATATTAATATTAACATGCGAATGTTAATAAAATAATTTAAAAATTCCAATTTATAATATAATTTACATATGATTTTAGATGTAAATCATATTTTGTGATTCACATGTGATTCTTATCCAAATCGTATGACAATAATTATACTTCTTTATATGTTTATCTCATGTGTTGCAAAATATGAATCACATGTGAATAACATATAATCAAAAATTTAATCACATATGAGTTACATGTTAATATATAACCTTAAATAACCATTTAATCACATGTATTTCTGATTTGAAACAAATATAATAACACATGTAATTCATATATTGATAACATTTGAATCAAATGTTTAATAACAAAATCAATTAAGTATGAATTATATGTAATTAAAATCTAAATATTAAGTATGAATTTATATTTTATTTATATGTAATTCTGATATAAATTACCTCAACGCTCATATCATCTTCATCATCAGAATCAGAATCTTCATTAAAATCAGGAATATTCTCATCAACATCTACATTTCCAAAAGATCCACTGAGAATTTCTGCTCTTTCTCTTTTTGACATTTTATCAATATCCCAGTAATGTATTGGATGTTCTAATATTTTGATTGAATCTTTCTTCAAGTTTTTCATGAAATCTAAATAAGCCAACTGTAATAAAAAAAATTATTAAATAGATTTATTATGATGATAAAATTTAATTTCTTAATAATATATTTTTATTACCAGTAATACAAGTAGTGGTCCACAGAAGTTATCGGTTCTATCTTTTTCATCCCAATAAATCTTGCAAACCTTTAAGCAATCGATTATATGTGCACACCAAGCTTCATACAAATGTGGCAAAAGTATGTTCTTGCAAGTTCCTAGTTTGTTTTGTTCACAAAACAAATTTAAAAAGAGAACTGCAAAGTCAAGTTGGAATATTTTTCCTGAACATGAAGACTTGTAGATATGTTTTTCAATTTGACTAGGTCTCATATTTTTTCCATTATATATATTTCTCCATTCCAAAAGACCAGTCTCGGTTTTTTCATTTAAATCAAATTCATTGATTTTTCTTCCACCTGTTGGGATTCCAAGTAAATTGTGAATCAGATCTGATGTGATATCTATTGATCCAACTGGTAGATTGATCTTCATTTTATCTAGATCAAAGCAGTTAACAACATATCGTGAAAGTTTTCCTGGAATTCCATTACTTGCCATTGTTAATAAAGATCCTAATCGCATTTCTCTGACCGCCTTCCTTTGTTGTTTATTAATTGATTAGACTACATCAAAAAGCATTTTAGGACACATTCTTGTTCTCAATGATGTTGGTTTTCTGGATCTATTGGTTCTTTGTCTTTCTTGACAAACTTCTTTTTCTTTTTGAAAGTTTTTGCACTTGAACTTTTTACATCTTTATCAATTTCTGCATCATCTTCAGTAATTTCTTTTCGTTTTCTTTTTCCTGATTAAGATGAAATGTAAATTATTAATATTCGATTAATAAACTAAGATATAAATTCTTTTATTAACAAAGTTAAATGTTCTTTATTGTTATTATCCTTCAGAATCATGATATCTAACTGTATTAAACAATTATATTTTTTTCTTTTTGTTTTTCCTGTTTCAAATTCATTTTGTATATTTTAATTGTTTGAAAATAACTTTATTAATTTATTTTTGTAACAATTATATAAACATCATATTAAAAAAATCATTAATAAAATTATATATAAATATCTTTATTAACAAACCTTTTTGTTTTCTCTTTTGAGGATACTTCACAACACTGATATCTACTTGGATTGAGCTTTCATTTATTGAAACAATATCCATTGACTTTCTTTTTCATGTTTCAAATTCATTGGAAGTTGTTAATTGTTTCAAAATATATTTATGAGTTTTTTTCTATATATAATTAAATAAATATGTTTTATTAACAAACCTGCTTGCATTTTAGTTTCAGCATTCTTCATAACACTACTATCTAATTCTATTGGGCTATTATTTCTTTGTTCTGTTTCAAATTAATTGCAAAATATATAAAAATACAAATTATCATTAAGTTAAAAGAAGTAATATTAACGAACCTTTTGTTTTTGCTTTCCAGGTGTCTTCAGAACAGTGATGTCTATTTGAATTGGACTAGACTGTTTTGAGCATATAATATTCTTAATTCTTGGACTTTGTCTTGTTACTTTAAAATACAGATGTATATTTTATAAAAATTTAATTAGAATCTGTTTATAATTTTGAATCTCAAATTAATTATTTTAAATAACAATATATTTAACAAACCTTGAGGTACTTTGTTTGGACTGTTCTTACCAACTCTTTTTCTCCATATTTGATTCTTTTGCTCTTCAATCTCATTTTGAATATTGTAATCTATTTCTGTTTATATAAATATTCATTTAACTTTTAGACCATAACAATTTTTCAAGTAATTTGAAATAAAATATGTGAATGTTTTAATATTGATAATTTGAATAACATACTACATATCATATCAACAGGACTGTAGATAACTTCAATAGGGAAAAATGATAGATTGTTGATGCTACGTATGCTATTAAATTGGGAATGAAACAAAAACACAATAGTTGCACTGATATTAAAAGAAACTTAAATGCTAGAAACGAAACATGTAAATTAATGTAAAACTTGTAAATTCATAAAATATCAAAATGAGAAAAAACAATTGATATTTTATTTACTAGAACAGGTCACAAAATTGCCAAACAGGCAATTAAACGTTGAATTCTTTTATAAAAATTAGGGTTTTAGATTTTAGATTCACAAACATTTTTATAATCGTATAATCATTCGTGTTTATTAAATCGAAGTTTTGTTTAATATAGTTTAACAACATGTTAGTTTTTGTATTTATAATAAAAATTCGAATCTAATCTTCAAACTTGTTTTAAAATATCTAGTGTTCTACTCTTATGATTCATGAACGAATCTATAAAATGTATAAACAAAACGCAGTAAAAGTATTGATAGAATGAAATACCTTCGACTTCCATGTTTTTTTATCACTTTGATTCGAAATACTCGGTTCAAGCTTTAATGATGATCGTCTGCGATTATCGTCTTTTGTGAAATGATAGATAAATTCAGATGTGAAATTAAATTTAATTTATAGTAATGAAGTGGATATAAATTTTAGATCCGTCATTTACCATAGTTAAGTTTTCTAACTGAAGTCAAATTTGTTTTTACGAAAATAGGCGTTATGGTTACTTTATTTTAATTTATTTTCAATTTAATTTTTTTTTATCTATTTAATTTTATATATTCTAAAATTATTTATCATTAATTACTTTTACTGTATTCCATGGCAAATCAGTTATATGTAAACATTCAAAAATATTTTAATTTATTTTCTATTAAAATTTTTTATATATTTAATACTATATATTCTAAAATTATTTATCATTAGTTGTTTTTACTGTCTTCCATGGCAAATCAGTTATATCGGTAAACATTCAGAATTATTTTTTGTTAAAGATAAGTGTTGAATATCCTTTAAAAACATTAAAAACATTTTAATATACACTTGGTTTAGTCACATGTATATATAAATGATTTATTGTTAAAACAGGTGTAATTCTCGTATAATTTACATGTGATTGACATGTAAATCATATGTTAATCACATGTTAATCACATATTAATTATAAAACCAGTCATTGCAAAACTATATAGGATATGTAAATGAGTTATATTTTGTAGCATTGGTATAAGTTTACTCAATTTGCAGTCATGAAAACTCAACAAAGATGCACTTAACAATATTGATAACCTAAAATTGTCCAGTTAAATTCAGTGCATCTCACATATTAATCATTTTTTGAATCACATGTGAATAACATATTAGTGAGAATTAAATACATTTAGAGGTAGAATCAGATGTCATTCACATACGAATGAGTTACATTTTAATAACAAATAAATTACATATTAATCAATTTAGAAACACAAATGAGTTATATAAATCAAAATAATTTAGTTTTTATACGTGAATATGAATCAGAAATCTGTTACACTCATTCATGTTGGGATGTATGTTCATTCAAATGTGAATCACAATTAATTCATAAATTTGTAGATAAATGAATAGGATGAATACAAATTGCAAACTACATAAAATCTAATAACTTTTAATAAAAACCAATAATAATACTATTTTTAAAATCTCAAATAAATATAAAATTCAAAGTACATTAAAACTAACAAACATTTTTCAATATTTCAAAGAAAGTATCAAATCATTTTTTGAATACATATATTAATAAAAAAATTTCAATCTTTCATTAAGAGTTGAGACTGCATTCCTTATGTCTTCTTTTCTTTCAATATCGGGTATTTTTTGGTATTCATTTGCAAGATGAATAATTTTGTCACGGTGTATGTTCAAATCAGACAACAACATCTTTGCAGCATATTTATATCTAAGCTTGTTAAGTACAGTCTTTTGCTAAGGACCTTCTTTTAACAAACCAGTGTTCCACTTCCTTAATAATTTTCCTTTGTAAGTTTCCATATGACGCATTGCAAAAATTCCTTTATCATTAGTTTCTTTTACTGTCTTCCATGGCAAATCAGTTATATGTAGTTTCATAGATTCAGAACTACATTTTGTAGCAGATGAGTGTTGAATATCCTTCAAAAACATTGTAAACATTTTTTTCTGCAAGAAAAAAGTAATAAATATATAATATGAGAAAATGATTTATTAGAATGACAAAACTTTTATTTAAATTACACTTACAAGATTTTCTGCAAGATGATCATAAACGACTTCATGTATAGTTCCAGAAACATTATCAATAATCTTGTAAACAGTTGAATTTAGATTGAATACAACTAGAAAAGTATTCTCCTTTCGTATAACAGGGAAGAAAACCTGAAATTATATAAATTGGTTTTTATTTTTTATGTATAAGAAAATTTAAGAATTCGTTAATTTAAATATCTTACATAATCAACTTTCTTTAATAGTCTTCTATCTTCATCCTCACCAAGACTATGAAGCATATGTGTTTTGAATAATACGTATCTACTTTCATTAGTGTATGAATATAGCTCCAAGTATGAAGACTAAAAAAAATGATTAGTTAATACTATATATATAATTAATATTTGACTACAGTAATAATATTTATTTCAGAAATATTATTTTTAATATATCCACATGTTAATAAAAATACAAATTTTACAATCATATGTGAATATTTAAATAATTTTATTCAATTTTATGATAAAATTTAAACCATAATTTTTTGTTAACTTACAGTAATAGCCACTTTACAAAAAACTCTTGATGGTGAATTAGCATGCTGAGCATTTTCATCATAATTAAGATGATCAGACCAACAATCAAGAACAACTGCAGTTATTTCAAATGACGGAAGTAAGCTCTCCATTGCTACTCTAATTGTAGTATCACCTCTTTTTGTTTTTATAACTTCATCACTACAATAATAAATATATACAAAATATAAAGAATATGTTAATATTTTATTTTTCTTAAAAAATAAAAAAGAACATCACTATTAAAAAGTATATAAAAATTATTAAATAGAAATTTACTTACATTGGTTCTCCTTTGCAGCTAAACAACCAATCACACACAATATTTTCATCACATGTAACTCGTTTATGTGTTTCAACCTCTATCAACCTGTATGGTGATCTTAAACAATGGTTGATGTGATTCTCCATTTCTTCTATCTTCAATTTTGCAACAACGGGAAGTTTCGAATTGATTGTTTGTTTTATTTCAGATTTAACATTCAATTGTTCATCAGATATATCTTCCTGACTAACACCTAGGCTAAAACTTGGCATTCCGCTAATTTCTTGTTGAACAATATGTTTTTTGCTCAAACTCTCTTCCATGAATCTATCTTTTGAACTTTCAGTATTCTCAATATCAGAGTATAACACAGGACTATTCTAAAATTTCTTTTTAGATTTGAATGTTTCAACTAAATAATCAGCCATTTTGTAAAGTTCTGGATTGTTCCAAAAGTCTTCATCATTATCAAAATAATCACATTTTGTGTTGGACATATCTTTTTTAAAATTCTTTGTTTGAATTTCAATATCTCTTTGAAGAGCTTGTTGAATTTCTTCATTGTCCCAAAATTGAGAATCTGATACATCTGTAAAAAAACATATTGTTCCAAAATTAGTTATATAAAATTATATTGTTCATCATATTAAATTCATATTGAAATCACATGAATCACATTTGTTTCACATGTAAATCATATGTAATTCACATATGAATTACATGTGATTCACATGTAAATCACATTTGTTTCACATGTGAATCATATGTAATTCACATATGAATTACATGTGATTCACTTGTAAATCACATATGAATTAAATGTGATTCACTTGTAAATCATATATGAATTACATGTGATTAACATGTAAATCAGATGCAATTTATATACGAATGACATGTAATTCACTAGTAATTTACATGTGATTCACTTGTAAATCACATATGAATTACAAGTAATTCATATGAATTAAATGTGATTCACATGTAATTTACATACAAATTACATGTGATTAACATGTAAATCAGATGCAATTTTATATACGAATGACATGTGATTCACTAGTAATTTACATGTGATTCACTTTTAAATCACATAATCATTACATGTGATTAACTTGTAAATCACATATGAATTACATATGATTCACATGTAAATCACATATGCGATTTACTTGTAAATCCCATATGAATTAAATGTGATTCAAATGTAATTTACATACAAATTACATGTGATTAACATGTAAATCAGATGCAATTTCTATATGAGTAATTTATATGTGATTCACTTGTAAATCACATATGAATTTGATGTGATTCACGAGTAATTTACATGTAATTCACTTGTAAATCCCACTTTAATTAATTTATCATATTAAATTTACATTTAATTACACATGAATATTATTTTATTCATATGTAAACAACAGATTGATGCTGACCATCTCCAAAATTAATTTCCATATCATTTATTGTTGATGTTCCTTCTTCAACTTTTGATGAAGATCCTTCTTTAAACATTGAAAATGATTTTTCAAAATTATGTTTTTTTCAGCATGAGTTGTTTCTTCTTTAACAACTTTATAATGAACAGGGTCAACAACTTCTTTTTTAAACAAAGCATCAACAATTTTATATGTTTCTGAAATTTCATTCTTATTATTGACATTCGAAGTGGAAACACTCAGTCCCAAAAATTCTTCCACTCTACTTTTTAATTCTTGTATACTTTGTATGCCAGGAAACTTTGATATTGCTTTATCAACTAATAAAATCATCTTTCTCTTGCAATACCTTCCATGATCTAGAAGCTTCAGTATTTCTATTTCATAATCCTACAACAAATGTAATTTATATTATAGTAACAAAAATATTTTATCAGATGAGCATAAGTTAAATAAATAAATTTTTACCTCGAGATTACATTCAATTGATTCTTCATTATATTCAAAATCACTTCCAAAATCAACAAAAGATTGTTTACAATCTTCTGTTACAAAAGGAGGATGTATATCTCCAAAATCAAATCTTCCAATAGTCATTTCCAGATTTTTCACGATATTTTATCTTTTCTGAGCTCCAATAACAAATGACTGGTCTTGTCCGCTCAACCTTTAATTCATCAGAATCAATACTGTCAAGATACAATAACTACATATATACAAATTAGTAAAATCAATAATTTATTAATAAATAAATAATAAAATATTGTATTTAAAGTATAATATAGAATTTTAATTTACCACGAGATATGCAGAAGGTCTGAAAAAGTATTTTTTATCATTGTAAGGTTCAAATGAACTACTCGTGTTGATGAGGCAATCCAAAACATATGAGCACCAATCAATACTTTTGATATCAGTTCCACTTGATATGTGCTTTAATATGTTAATGTTGCATACACCACTTGAACTTGATTCACAAACAGTATTCACAAACAGAACTATGAAATTCAATTTGAAATTCATATCAGCTAATGATGTAGACACAATTGAACTCGTAGCTGTGTCATTCTCAAACTTGAAACATCATCAAATTGTATAGCCCAATTATTATACCATGTATCTAAATGATCTCTATAACCAATTTCTTCAATTCTTTTTCCATTCATTGGAATTCCCAGCATTTCATTAACCGATTCCCTTGTTACCATAATCTCTCCTTTCTCTACTTTTATAACCATTCGTGTTCTATCAAAGTTATTTACCATATAGAAAGATATTCTTGATGGTATGTCTGATATTTTCATTTTAAGTAAACTACCAAAACCCATAGACTTCACACAATCTTGTTGTTCTTTGCTTAAACCTGGAATAACTGAAAATAAAGATTATGTTGATCGTCTATTTTTCATTCCATAAAGATTTTTATCTAATGGAATTTTCTTCTTCTTTCTATTTATAACATGACAACACATCTTCTTTTTCTGAAACAAGAATTTCAACTAATTTTTTTCTTTTTTTTTTGAACTTCCATCTATTTTGTTTACTTTTTTGTTCTTCTTTTTTTTATTCTTTTCAATTTTTTGCATTTTGAAGTACCACATTTTACTTTTTTATTTTGTTTTTGTAAATTCGATCATTCTCCAGATGTTCCACCAATTTTTATTACTTTCACTCTGTCTTGGTCTTTCTTTTTTGTTGAATCTTCAATAGTTTTCTTCTTTTTTCCTTTATCTATAAGATAAAATAATAAAAAGTTTAACATATTGATTTATATTTAAACATAAATATGTACTTCATATCTAAATAACATATAATTCATTTTTTGATTTAGATTTCAATTAAATCGGAATCATATGTAAATAACATATATTTGATTTTCTAATTTAATTCTTATTATAATGTATTCGCATGTGATTTACATATTCAATTAAAATTTTGTTCACATTAGAATCAAATGTAATTAACGAAACTAGCTCATCTGTGATTTACACCTTTATAACATTTGATTCAGCTGTGAATAAAATATAATTAACAAAAAACTGATTAACTTCTTATTGTAAATTATTTCACATTAAATTACAAGTTATTATGATGTTAATCATATACAATAATTTAATTATTATGTATGATTCAGATGCTAATGAAAAATAATAATTTAAATATCTTTTGTATTTATAATAGTAGCTATTTTTTCGTTGAAATCTTCATCTGAAGATGTTGAAAATTCCATTTCGCTTGATTTCTAGGGTTTTGAATTTTTCTAATTTTGTATATATGTCGATGATTATGTAGATGAAAACTGCAACACAAGTTACAAATAAACGAAAAAATGTATTCAGATTTAATGAACATTAATAACAAGAACAAAATAAGGATTTCAAAACATTGATGAAAATAGAGGAACCTGTGATTGTTTCCGGGAGATCTTTGGGTCGAAGAGGAGGTTTATTTCGGGTGGTTGTTCTTCAATGATTTTTGCTATGTAGCGTAGTAGAATTTGATTTTAATATTGGTTGAATTAGGCGACGTTTTGTTTGTTGATGGAATACGTGAAAAGAAAATTTTATATGAATTCTATAAATTTGATATATTTTATACTATATATAAATGTGTTTTATATAATATTTAAAAAAAACATATTAATAAGAGATGTAGTAAAGAAATTCTTTATATTCATAAATATTTTTATAACTAAAATATAATTAAGAATATTTTAATTTAAAATTACAAATTATTTTAATAATCATAATTTAATAAAATAAACTCTGAAAAAATAATTTATTATATAGAAAATATTAAAATTAAAAATAAACATTATACAGTTATATTAAAATAATAATTTTGTCTTATTCTTTAGAAGTCACGACAAAAATTTTTGACGTTTATTAAATCTAAAAAAATTTATATTCAATTTAAATTCTATTCTTTATATGTCAGGGTTTATATTTATTCATATTGATCCTCATTTCTCGGATTCTGTTCATTCTTCTTGTAAACCGGAAAAAGGGTGTGCTTCCATTGTTCTTGTAAACCGAAGTCAACGTTTGGGAAAGAAAAGCAGATTTCAACAGTATTAAAATCGGTAATAAATTCTTTATTCTTATTTTAATAAGTTTATTTTTGAATCACTTATGAAAATCTTAAGCCCTAAGTTGTTCTGTTTATTTTATCCCAAATGCGTATTGTTTTTTATTTTAGGGTTTTCAATAAGACATGATTTAAATGTAAATAATCTGTTTCATATTTTATTAACAGACGAATATACATAATCACAAGTAAGGGTAAATACTTGCAAATGAATATACATAATAACGTCTGGTTAATGTTAACCTGTGATTTTCACGTCATTAAATAATTTATTAGATTTGAATCACATGTTATTTAGAAATATATTTTACAACTAAATCATAACTAGGTTTACATCTGATTTTCATATTAATATCATATTATTCAAATGTGAATTAAACATAACTCGGGAGAAGTAACTCATTTGATATTCTTTTGTAACTCATTTCAAATTCTTTTTCAATTATTTTTTTAGGAAAATATTTTTCAAGAAAATGAAGATGGAGAAAAGAAAAAGAGCTGATTAAGAAGAGCAAAGTCAATTGAAATTAAAGAAAGGGAAGAAAGTATCTTCGCCTTTGATAGCTTTGAATAATAACAAAATGAATTTCTCTACATTACGTATCAAAGCATCACCAAATTCAATGTTTAAGATTATTAAGAAGCTTAGTTTTGAGCAGAAGAAATGTGTGAAAGAACTTGGATTTAAAAGTTTATTGAAGTTGGAAATTGACGATTTACCTTCAAGACTTAGCTATTATGTTGTTCATAACTTTGATTATGAAAAGATGATACTAAAAGTTATGAACAGTGAAATTAAGGTAGATAGTCAAAGTGTAAATGAGATGTTAGGAATTCCAATTGGAGAAAAAGAAGTGGATCAGCTTCCATTCCGAGCTAAAGATGATCAATGTTATAATAGGTGGATAAACCAATTTGCTGATAAAAAGAACATCAGATTTAAAGATATCGTGAATGCAATTATTTCAACAAAAGAAGCCGATTTCAATTTCAAATTGAGTTTCATTGTGTTGTTTTGTAACACACTGGTTGAAGCTACAGGAAAATAAATGATAAGATATTGAAAAAAATATCAAGTGATACGGATTTTTCGAAGATCAATTGGTGTTCTTATATGATTGAATCATTGATTACAAAGAAGAGATCATATTCAGTATCCAAAAACAAGAGTTATTTTAGTGGACCAGTCACATACATACTGGTAATATTTTGTTATCAACAATGTATTTGATGTAAAAAATATATTAAATAATTTTTACTTACTATGTAGTAATTCACATGTGAATCACATGTGATTCATATGTGAATCACATGTAAATCACAAATGAATTAATACATTATCAAGTATGCAATGATTCAAATGTAAATCACATATGAATAACATATGCATCACATGTAAATCACATGTTATTCACATGTGAATCATATGTAATTTGTATGTAAATTACAACTGAATTACATATGAATTTTTTGTGATACACACGTAAATCACATGTGATTAACATATGAATCACATGTAAATCATAAATAAATAATTGGTAATATATCAAGTCAATAAAATGAATCATTGGTCAAAAATACAGGTCTGTATACAGCTTTGTTAAACTTTCATTTGTGACTGACTAAATGGGACAGTAAAAAAAGTTTACCAAAAGTATATTAGCAAAACTTGCATTTGTTAAACTTTAATGAAAACTCTTATATTAAAATTATATTATTGAATACTAAATAAATTATTTACTATGTAAATAATTTTAAATTAATTTTTCTGTATGCAGTTGTTGTATGTTGACCATGTTGATTTTGATGGGCAAAATGCTCCTCGTTTACGTCCAGCAATAAAAAGCTGGAATTCTCACAAATTGAGTCAGAGAGAAAAGCGTGAGATTGAAGTTGGGATGTTTGGAACTGGAAAGGTTCTTCCAAGACTGCAAAATACATAGGATAAAAAAGTTGAGGTAAAAATCTTATTATTATACATTTATGATTAATTATTATTAAATTTAGTTAAGAAAACATTTTATATTTGAATGACATGTTTATTTAGAGAAATATATTTTAAATGTAAATCATAACTAATTTTACATCTCATTTACATCTTAATCACATATTATTCATATGTGAATCAAATATAACTTATTTTAATATGTTAATTTTTATATTAATATATTGTATTAAATTTTTTTATATGCAGGATTACTTGTCAACTTTGGGAGAGGTGTTTGAATCAATTAATGTGAAAAAGAGTAAAATGCTGATGAAACTTAAGGAGGCTCTTTTGAAATATCCAAGTGATGAAAATTTGAAAGAATGGAAAAACATATTATTTGATTTTGTTTTTGTTCCCAAAGATTTTTTTGAGGAAGACGCGATGGAGAATTTAATTGATAATTATGAAAATATTGATGGACAAATTGTTCAGCATTTATTGGGAAGAGAGAAAAGTCAACATGAGCAAATAGATGCCGAATTTGATGCTGATCAATTTTTGGTGAAGGACATAGATTGTAATTTTAAAGAGGGAGGTGAAAAAGAGGGAGGAGAAAAAGGAAAAGTTTGTATATATGAAGAAGGGAAAGAAGGATATTGTTTTTGAATTGACAAATACAATTTGTCAAAAACCACTATTTGTATATAAAAGAAGAGAGAAATCTAAATGAGCAAGAAATGAAAAAGTTTTTCAAGCATCTTCTGCAGTTGATACACTTCAAACATCTTCTGCATTTGATACGATTCAAACATCTTCTGCAGTTGATACGATTCAAACATCTTCTGCACTTCATACAATTGAAACATATTCTGCAGTTGATACAATTCAAACATCTTCTGCAATTGATACAATTCAAACATCTTCTGCAGTTGTTCAAGAACAATATGCAAAAAAATTAAAATTTGTTTTTAACAAAAATAGAATTGTTGATGTCAAATCAGAATTAACTCAAGAAGAATTTATGATTTGTCAATGGTTATTTAATCTTAAATGAGAAACAAGGTAACAATTTTTATTTTTAATGTAATATATTTTATTTAAAAGAATTATTTTATTTTAGTTTAACATTTAACTTTTTTTATATATACAGTGATGCAGTTATTATCTCAAAGTCTGGAATAGAAATAGAAAGAGTCATGATGATAAGTTTATTTGCAAACATGGAACTTTTTCTAGTGTTATTGACTCATGGTCAGATCAGCTAAATCATATTGAGCTTCAAAAAAAATAATCAGTCTTCACTAAACAGAGTTTTTTCTGCAAAACAGGAGTGACTGTAAGTATATATAAACACAATATTTTAATCAGATGTATGTGATTCTCCATCTGTTCTATCTTCAATTTTGCAACAACGGGAAGTTTGAAAATGATTTCTTGTTGTTTTTTCATCACATATGTTCCTGAATAACACTTACGCTAAAAATTGGCATTCCGCTAAATTATTTTTGAACAAAATATTCACATTTGTGTTGGACAAATCTTTTTTAAAATTCTTAAATTTCAGTCTTCATCATTTCAAAATATTCACATTTTGTGTTGGACAAATATCTTTGAAGAGCTTGTTGAATTTATTCATTATATCAAAAGTTAGTTTGTTTTTAAACTTTTTTTGTTTTAAAACAATTGATGATTAAATTTGTCACACCCCCAAACCAAGGATGGCGGAAACGTCCGGAGGTGGAGGACTTCATGTATAGTATCATAACAACAATCGTAATAGTAATTCAAGCAACCACAACCAACATATATATATAAATGAAAAAGTTACATCGTGGTATGAATTACATTTTTCCAAATCAATTACAATATGTTGACAAAATGTGAAATGTTTGACGCCTTAACGTCCCATCCTCAAAAGCACTTGGTTACATGTTTTAGTGATTTCCTAAGAATACAAGTTGTTTGAAAAAGTGTCAACACAAAGGTTGGTGAGTTCATAAGCATTTGTACGTAGTTATGAAAACCTTTTTCTTGTGAAAGTATCGTTTGTTCCAGAAAATCCAATATTTTCCTTAAAGTGTGAATGTAGTCTTAAAAAAAAAACCCAAAGACCAAGACGTATAAGTACTTTCCTTACTTATAGTAAACAATGCAAGTTTAAATCGACATAAACTCGTTTGATTTCAATGAAATCCCTGTAAATTCCTATGTTTGTTAATACTTTCTGTGAGTTATTATAACCATGCTATGACCTAGATGGCCTGAAACGACGTTCTTCAGGCGTCGGAAATGTTATGACATTTGTCACCCCAGACCTGCCGGTCTAACTGTTGAATGCAGTTCAGGTGTGGGTTTGTCAGACCCAATATAGATCTATATACAACTATCACGCTCTCCCTCCAGGAGACTCTGGTTACAATACAGGACTTATTTGTAAAGTGAAGCGAATGTCTCACAAAGTCATTAACGGAATTACGTGTTGTGTAATGAAAATCCTCTTTGTATAAATGTACCCTTTTGAAATGTATGTATTATGTAATGTATCATAAACTATACCTATTATAGTTTATCAAAACAAGGGTAGTAGTAGTAATGTATGTAAACTATACTTAACATAGTTTATCCAAATGTTTGTATGTAATGGATGTACTTTGATTATAACAATTTGTTATTTCTATGCTTTATCTAGCAAAATCCATTTGTTAACTGTTGTATGTCCTTATACTAAGACCAAATGTCATATAATGCAATAACATATAATCACATAAAGATATACACCTTGCTCAACATGTTACAAGGTGTAATGAAATTGATAGCATTTTTCTGTTGTTAACAATTTCTATTACTGTTCTTAGAAAATTTGTAGAAAAATTATCAAAGGTCCAAATCAGAATCCGTAAATTCTGAGAGTTTGGAAAATGAGTCTAGTTTGTTCATAAATTTTCTCACGATTTTTAGTGACCTCCAACTTAGGTGAAAACGTCCATAATCACAGACTGGTCCGGATTGGTTCTTGAAATGATAGGCAGTTTTGTAAAAATCACCATAAATTGTACAAAAATCTTATGGAGTTGTGCAAGTAGCCATTTTAAAGCTAAGAACTTGAACTACTTGCACCTTGTACAGTTTTGAAAACAAAAATGTTTAAGTTGACCAAAACAGTCCGTGAATGGAGTCCAACGTTTCTGATGAAAGCTGTTAGAAGAATTTAGTTGTGTTCTTGGTGTTTTAACTTGTATTCCCCCCTTGAAACATAAGAAAACATGAAAATGTAGGGTTATGAACTCACCTTGTGTGATTTTAGTGGATGAGTGTTGGAGAAGGGAAGTGTTCAACTCAAGAACACTTGAAGATGCCTTGAAGATTTTCGAGAATCTAACATCAAAGTGATGGAGTTTGTGTAAGCAATCGATGATTGGAGTAGAATGAAGTGTAATAATCACAAGGAGGATGAATTATACTTACCAAGAGTAGAATAAAGCTTGATGATCAGCCTTGGAGTCTCGAAATAGAGAGAAAAAGCTTGAGAGAAAAGTTGTGTTTGATTTTTGGTGAAATGAGAGCAAGTGAGTGAAAATGAGGAGAGAGGTTGATTTGTTCCAGCTCTTAGAACGTGGGAGGGGCTGATGATTGATGGAAAAGTACAATGAAGTGACTAGGGATGGTGGGGAGGTGTGTGGGTTAGTCATGGAGTGGGTGTGGTGGTTGCTTGTGTCATAAATCAAAGATAAGTCAACACTCCACCTTAATTACTCCAACCACTAAATCTTGGATAAGATTTGCATTAAAAACGTGATTAATTAAGACATATGGGTCTTAATATGTTAAAATAAAGTTTTGGGTGGAAATCCCCCGTTAAAATAATTAAAGACGGGCTTAAAACTGAGTCGGGGTTGAAAACCGGGTAGAAAATGGCAAAATCCGAAGTCAGGAGGGTGACCTCGGCCTTAACAGCCTTAGATCCGAGGTGGGGCTTGGTCGCGGATGCGGATTCAAATAGAAAAGAAAGCTGCGGTCGGTGGTTGCGGCTGCTGGCTGAGGTCGGTGGCTGCGGCTGCTGGCTGCGGTCGGTGTCTGCGGCTGCTGGCTGCGGTCGGTGGCTGCGGCTGCTGGCTGCGG